ACTATATCACATCTTCTTTATTCAGTCATCTGTTGATGGACATTTAGGCTGTTTCCATGTCTTGGCTATTGTAAATAGTGCTGCTATGAATATTGGGTGCAGGTGTCATTTTGAAGTAGGGTTCCTTCTGGATATATGCCCAGGAGCGGGATTCCTCGGTCGTACGGTAAGTCTATTCCTAGGGTTTGACCACTTTTAGATTTTTATACTTTCCTCCCTTATATACATAATATGTGGGTGATTCTTTGAGACTGTGAATATCATGTTCTCAACAATCCTAAGTCTAATGTTTTAGTGTACAACTGACTTGTTGCATAAATCAATTCTTGCTAAAGAGGTTGCAAAATGGTGATTTCCTAATTTTATCATTCTTTCTACATTTATTATTTGGCTTCCTGTCCTCATCGCCTTTAAATTTTTAAAAAAGTTATCAGTATGGACTCATGGATTCATTTTTATTCAATACATTATAACCTATTATTATTTACTTTGATCTCAAATTTTCCCAAATTTGACCAGGGAAGCCCCTTCAAGTTGGCTCAAGTGTCCTTTTGGTATGGTCCCATCACTTTATGAGCACTTCCTTATTTAGGCCCAAGAAAATGTTTCAGGTTCAGTTTGCCCCAGTCCTAGAATTAGCCATTTCTTCAAGGAATGTTGTTTCCTTTAAGTAGCGTATAGTTTTTAGAAACCAAGATCTGGGCATTAACTGTGCTCATTGCCACTGGGAAGAGGTATCAGTATTGACACGTATAGTATGAATATGCTGATACTAATAATAGAATTAGAGGCATCAGTATAAATACATAAATAAATACATACATACACACATAAACACACAATACATATATATACATATATATACATACATATATACACATGAAGACCTCTAGTTCCAATTCATTATCACACCACAGGATTTTTTTCTACTGTGGTCCTACTCTCCAGGAAGATCAGCTAAGGTCCCACTAAGGAGATGATATTTGAGATGATATCAGAATAATATTTAGGAGCCAGCCATGCAAAACTCTGAACAGCAGATCATTAAAAGCAGAGAGAACAACAAGTACAAAGGCCTAAGGCAGAAATGAGGGTGGAATATTTGAGAAACAGAATGATCAGGGTGGCTGAAATGTACTGAGCTACAGGAAGGCAGTTTGAAGTGAAATGGCAAAATCTCCACATGGGTTCCCTAACCCATGGAACAAAAGCTATTATGGTAGCAAAAGCCTAGGGGAAGGCACTAGAAATGCTTCTTCATACCAAAATAGAAAACCAGAAAACAATACCGTATAGAGAGATTGGAGAGATTAATGTTCCTTGAAGGATAGAGGAACGGTGATTCTTGCCACAGCTTTTTTCAAATTGCCTATTTGGGTTGTGCATAAGACAGATAGATCCTAGAAAATGAAAATAGATTGTTCCCAATGACTTACTCTGGTAGCACCTCCAATTACAGCTACTGTTCCAGGTGTTATTTCATTGCTGGAACAAATCAACACTTTCCCATAAGTATTCAAATTTGTTTAAGAAAATAAGATTATTATCAAACTTTCATGAAAAGGAAACCCAATGTCCCTTAAACACAGGAGCAATTGCTTCCTATCCTTCCTAAAGAAGAAATTCACATTTTCAATGTACAATGGGTTTGACAAGGATGAACGCTTATTAAGCATATTAAAGTATATCCCTAAAAAGTAATTACAAAAGGAAGAGGAATACCTTTATAGTGGAGAAACTGGATACCACCTTAACCAAGTGATCAATGTTAACACAAATAAAGGAAAAACTTGACATTGTGTGCCTCCTGATGCAATGCACTGGGAAGACACAGCATCACTTCTCAGGTACCCAGCAAAAAGGGCACACCCAGAGTCTGATCATGAGGAATAGCACACAAACCCACATTAAGGAATGACATTATAAAACAATATATATATTGTTTAAAAATATCAAAGTCATAAAAGACAGAGAAAGGTCAGAAACTGTTCCAGATTAAAAGAGACTAAAGAGACACAACAACAATACAATATGAGATCTTGGACTGCATCCTGCACTGGCCAAAAACAATTCTATAAAGGACATTATTGGGACAGCTGATGAAATTAGAATACAGACTACAGATCATATGAAAAGGGTTGGGTAACTGGCCAGTGGGGAACAGGTATTCTGCTGCACTGGTTGGCTTGTCAGGCCATTGGCCTACATTTACCAGGTTACAAACACATATCCCTTTTGCCACTCTGATTCTATTTCTAGGAATTTATTCTGCACATGCCCATATTTGTAAAATGACGTCTGCATAAGGACAGGCATTGCAGACTTGTGGTAATACCAGGTGGAAACAAACTAAACATCCATCAACAGGGCACCAATTAAATAAGTGATGGTGGTCAATTAATCTTTGGCAAAGGAGGCAAGAACATACAGTTGAGTAAAGACAGTCTCTTCAGCAAATGGTGTTGGGAAAACTGGACAACTGCAAGTCAATCAACGAAGTTAGAATACTTCCTCATACCATACAAGAAATAAACTCAAAATGGCTTAAAGACTTAAACATAAGACAAGACACTATGAACCTCTTAGAAGAAAACATAGGCAAAACATTATCCAACATAAATCTCAGCAGTGTTCTCCTAGGGAAGTCTACCCAGGTAATAGAAATAGAAGCAAAAATAAACAAATGGAACCTAATTAAACTTAGAAGCTTTTGCACAGCAAAGGAAACCATAAGCAAAACAAAAAGACAACCTATGGAATGGGAGAAAATATCTGCAAAAGATGAGACAGACAAGGACTTAATTTCCAGAATAAACAAACAGCTCATAAAACTTAAAAACAAAAAACAAACAACTTAATCCAAAAATGGGCAGAAGACCTAAACAAGCAATTCTCCAATGAAGATACACAAATGGCCAATAGGTACATGAAAAAATGCTCAATATCACTAATTATCAGAGAAATGCATATCAAAATTATAATGAGGTATCATCTCACACCAGTTAGAATGGCCATCAAATGATAAATGCTGGAGAGAGTATGTAGAAAAGGGAACCCTCCTACACTGTTGGTGGTGTGAATGTAGTTTGGTGCAGCCATTATGGAAAACAGTATGGAGATTCCTCAAAAAACTAAAAACAGACTTATCATACAATCCCGCAATCTCATTCCTGGGCATATATCCAGAGGGAATCTTAATTCAAAAAGATGCATGCACTCCAATGTTCATAGCAGCACTATTTACAATAGCCAAGACATGGAAACAACCTAAATGTCCATTGACAGATGACTGGATAAAGAAGTTGTGGTATATTTATACAATGGAATATTACTTGGCCATAAAAAGAATCAAATAATACCATTTGCAGCAACATGGATGGACTTTGAGATTGTCATTCTAAGTGAAGTAAGCCATAAAAAGAAGAAAAATACCATATGACATCATTTATATGTGGAATCTGAAAAAAAAAAGACAAATTCATTTACAAAACAGAAACAGACTCCCAGACATAGAAAACAAACTTACGGTTACCAGAGGAGGGAGGGGGTGGGAAGGGATAAATTGGGAGTCTGAGATTTACAGATACTAACATACTTACATACACACACACACATATATATATAAAATATATGTGTATATATTATATATATAATATATATGTATATGCATATATATTATATATGTATATAAAATAGATAAACAACAAGTTTATACTGTACAGCACAG